CCTTCTGGATCACAGCTAGATCACCAGGGATGCCACTGATGTTTTATGCCGGACAGCTCTTTACTGGACATTTAACGGCCTCATCCCTGTTAAGTGCCAGGAGTGCTAACGCTACCCAGAAACCCAAACCCCTTACCTCATTTCCTGATGTGCCCCGATAGATTCTTCTAGTGCTTCAACAGAAACCCTTTCTATATCAAAGTTCAGTTGTTCCTTAGGTGTTGGATGGTTCAGGCAGTTTATAAACCCTTCCTGTCCCTTTCCCAGGCCCAGCCTGCTAGTGCCTCACTCAAATCTCCAAGTTCATAAGTTGAGAAGGAAACCTTTGGGAAGAGTGTTGGACTCCACCCCCAAACATGTGAACTTCTCTGCCAACAGCTTGATCTGCTTCCCCAGTTCATTTCTCTTTAATGATGGTGTCTGACCGACCTCTTCTTGCCTCTTGCACTGTCTCCAGGTTGGAACTGGCTCAAAGCAGTTAATGAGGCTACCCACAATACAGGATAGAAAGGACAGGGCATATTTATTGATTAACGATAATTGTCAGTTTTTAAAGTTTTTATTTTTGGCAATAAAGAGCACAACATAAAAAAAAAAAAAAAAGAATGAACCTTCAAGTACTATAATGAAATGTGCAAGACCTTGGATTAGAAAACCAAAAGGGAAGGACATGCTCAGCATTTCTCAAGGTGTAAATATTGAGGAATGAATTCAAGCCTTGACTTGCAAAATGAAGTAGTCTATGCACAAAATAATGAGTGATGAAGAAAACATCAAAAGCAGATTTAAGGAATACACAGTTGCTATACCATAAGGAAATGATCAATGTTTAAGCATTTTAAGAGGTATATCATATGATTAAGAACCGATGGAACTGAAGAAGAGGTCCAAGGAGCACTGAAGGAATTGTTAGAATACAAATTGAAATCTTTCAACAAACTGATGCAACACTGGATCCACTCACTCATCTCTGCCAAGAAATTTGGAATATAGCTACCTGGTCAACTAATTGGAAGAGATCCATATTTTTGCCAATTCCAAAGAGATGTGATCCAATGGAATGCTTAAGCCACCAGACAATATCATTAATATCACTTGCCAGTAAAATTTAGTTCAAGATAATTTAAAAAATGGCTACAGCAGTATGTTGACAGGGATCAAACTGGATTAAGATGAGGATGTGGAATGAGAGATAATCACTGTGGATGTCATACGGTTCTTGGCTGAAAGCAAAGAATACCAGAAAGATGTTTACCTGCACTTTATTGACTATACAAAGATTTTCGGTTATGTGGCTCTTGACTAGATTTGCACAAAATTACGGAGAATAAGTATTCTGGAACATTTAATTGTGCTTGTGAGGAACCTGTACCAACACCAAGAGGCAGTCATTCGAATTGAACAAAGAGACAGAGTTGTTTAAAATCAGGAAATGTTTGGGCTAGGTTCTAGTCTTTCACCTTACTTATATAATCTGTATGTCTAACAAGTATTCTGAGAAGCTGAATTATATGAAGAAGAGCGAGCATGGTTTCAGGATTGGAGGAATACTCATCAACAACTTGTGATAGTCAGATGTTGTTGTTGTTAAGTACAGTCAAGTTGATTCCCACTTATAGTGACTGTATAGGTTTTCTGAGGAGCTGCTGGTGAAGTTGAACCACCGAACTTGCAGTTCAAACTGACCTTGTGGTCTGTCTCTTATCCAACAGTGCCAGATGATGTTGTTGTTGTTGAGTACCGTGGAGACAGTTCCGACTCATCGTGACCCTGCACAGGGTTTCCGAGGCTGTAAATCTTTACAGGAGCAGAATGCCTCATCTTTCTCCCGCGGAACTGCTGTTAGTTTCGAACTGCGGACCTTGAGGTTAGCAGCCTGATTCGTAACCACTATGCTACCAGAGCTACTATTGAAAGTACTAAATATTTACTGATGAAAATTAGCAACCACAGCCTTCAATATTGGTTGTACCTCAGTATGACAAAAACAAAAATCTTCCTCAGCGGATCAATAAATAACCTGGTGATAAATGGAGAAAAGATGTAAGTTGTCAATGTCTTCATTGTACTTGGATCCACTATTAACACTCATGGAAGCAGCTGTCCAGAAATCAAATGACATATTACATTAGACAAATCTGATAATTATGTTTTAGTCCCAAAACTAAGCTGTAAATTTCTGAGGGAAGAAGCTTTGATGTATGTCACAATTGTAAACATAATGCCTATAGGTTTCATTCACCTGTTGGTTAAAGTAGGCTAAAATTATGATGGCTACGGAGTCCTGATGTGGTGGCTCTGTAGGATCAGCACTAGACTGCTAACCACAGTGGTTCAAATCCACCAGCTGCTCCTTGGAAACCCTATACAGGGTTATTATCAGTTAAAACTGTCACAAAGGCATTTAGTAACAACATTATCACCTGATATTAACCCTGGTGGTGCTTTTGGTAAAACATTGTTCTGCTAAGCATAAGGTTGGTGTTCAAACCCATGAGACACTCAACAGGAGATAGCTGGTGCTTCCAGCTCCCATAGAGATTTATAGTCTCAGAAACCCTTTATGAGGATTTCTGAGACTATAAATTAAAGCAATATGCAACTATGTGTTGGAATCAATTCACTGGCAGTCAGTTTGGATACCATTTGCCTGCCAAAGCAGGAATGAAGACCCATTCAAAACTTCTCACATTCAGTTCTGGGAGATTCCAGGTGAAGAGCACATATATTTTTTCAAGGATAATTAAACACATGTCTTTGGTTGTGATCTCATATAATCGTATTTGCATGAAAATAGCATTACCTGCCATTATCATATTTCTTGAAGTCTTTCATGATTCCTCAGCTTGTGAGGATGGAAGTAGCGGAAGGAGACCATTATTTATGATTAAATATACTTAAGATTAGTCAATGTATATAAATAATTTAGGCTTCCTGGCAAACAGTATGTGTATATTAACTATTTTAAACTTATTTTTTATAGTATTATTGTTTCCGTAAGTTTCAGCCATCTGTTCATATAGGCGCATAATCAGTTCCTTTATCTATTATATAGGAATTAGGTATGCTTGTGCTTAAATAATATGCAATTGAATCTGCTATGCTGATCTTCCCTATCAAGTCCCTGTTTCCAAAAGATCTTGTATTCGTCTGCCCTTATCTGGGATGCCTAGCTATAAGTCACTGCATTGTCTACACAGCAGAAAATAGTGGGGTTATTTTTTTATGAAGTATATTATCCATAAAAATTTTGGTTATTTATTGATGTCCTCTGTAAAATTTATATTACTGAACAAGGCATAAAAACCAGTGAAACTAAACCTGTTGCTGTCAAATCAATTTTGACTCATTAATGACATTATAGACAGAGTACAACTGCTATGTAGGTTTTTCAAGGTTATAATCTTTATGGAAGCAGACTGAAAATCTGTCCCTATGGTAGAATTGGAAAGTTTGAACCTCTGACATTTCTGTTGTGCTTCATTACTGTGTCACAAGAGTTCTTCAAGATAAGACAAACTATCCTCAAAATCATGAGAAATTTAAAAATAAACCATTAGATTCCCATAACAATCATTAATGGCAGACTTACAGGTTTAATAAATTATAAGCCCAATTCCATTTAGGGATAAACATCAACTGGAAGAAATGTTAATATTAATTTTTGCATTTTGAAATCATCCAACTTGACTACTTTCTGTTATTAAAATCATTAATTAATTTGCAATACATACAGCACTTCCATTTATACTAAATCCTTTAATAAGTGATTTGTAATCATCATCAGTTTTCACACTCTAAAAATATACTTCAAAAGCTGCTATAATAATTGGCATGTCTATTTTATTAATATGGCTCCTTCCCCAATAATTTCAACTATAATATTTAATAAGGAATAATTTTTCTTCCGGAAATTAGACAACACAAAGTTCTTGAGAATATTTTGATTAATGTTGAATTCTCCTCAATTCCCCACAAAGAGCTAAATACTTTAAAAAAAATTAGCAGCTACATAATCTAATACTATTTTCTTCCCAGCAAATTATTCTGTCATTCTTTAATTCTTAACTCAAGTAATATTTTCACTATGAACCTTCTTTTTTTCCCCTATCTCAGCAAATATAATTACTCTTTCTATTTTGTTTTCAAACATTCCAATAAACCTTATCCTTAGGTTGCAGTTTACAGCTGTCTCTCCAGATAGAAAGTGAACTTTTTTTGTATTTGAAATTTATCTTGTGCATTATTAATCACTGACATCTACCATAGTGCTGATTATGTATATTCCAAATACACTTTATTGAAGGAGTAAGTAGTTACAGAATATATCAGTAGACTATTAAAGTGGCGACATAATAAGATGAA